AAAAATATGTTTACCTTCGCGTTTGACACACATTTCGCTTTAAAATTAAATATATTTTTATAGAAAATATAATATAATTTTAGGGCTTCTTGTATATGAGGCAGACATCAGTGCCGTTGAGTACATACATATCATTTGGCCACCAGTTTATCATAGCATGGGTTCAAAGTGGAGATCATTTTGTAAACCCATTATTAAAATGTTTCGTGTATTTACGTATTATAAACAATATTAGTAAACTCAAAAATTGTTTAATATATTATCTAAATTACAAAATTCTGTGTCTCTTTTTCTTAACAAAATTCATCTCAAAAGCGACTGGTTATCAGTGTTTACATGATTATATCGATTGCTTTTATATGGATGTGCGAGACCATAGACATGCTCCCTATGTATTAGCTTTCAATTCTTAAGGCATATATCCATTGCTTTTAACATAATAAGACATAACAGGCATTAAATTAGAAAAATCAGTCAAATGTCAAATAAATGTATTATAATCTCTATTTGTCTATAATTTTCTATTTTTAACATTACATTTGTAATAAGGAATTGATTTTTTGATTATTCACACAATCCCTCATATTTTAGCTCAAAATTATGGGGTTATGTGAACTTTCTTTGCAAATATCAATAATTAAATGACAAAAGCAATTATTTTGTCAATAGTTTATGAATTATGAATATAAACTTTTGTATAAATATTACGTGATTTTTATATTCGCTGCTTATATTGTTTGAAAAATTAAATCAATATTTGATTTATATATAGGTTTATAGTAACAGTGCGCAAAATTAGATTATAACATATATAAAAATGCCTAATAATTTATATATAAATATTAAATAAGATTTTTATATAATTATTATTATTTAAAATAGAAAGTAAGTTATCATTATAAAATATTCAATGAAGTCTAATTATTATAACATTTGTTGAAATTCATTTTTAATTTGATAATTTCAAAAACATTTAATACAATTTTTATGAAATAAAAGTTATAAAATTATCTGAAAAAACTTGATCGTAGTTTTTTATACAATATTTATGAAAACTCATTAATTGTTTTATTTTTCATTGAGTCCTTAATGGCTGTATGAAGTGATATAGATTATTTTTTAAAGTCGTGAATTTAATCAATAGTAAAAATAGAAAGTAATATAATTATGAACCCAACAAAAATAGCACATCATATCATGATTACATCAATAATAAGCACATAAAATATCACAATAAATATAACTGTAATTTACAGACACAATAATAACAGATTTCAATCCGTTTTGCTTTTAATTATTGTTTCACTTCATGTTTAGTCAGTTATTAATATGTAATGGAAAGTGAAATTGAAAATTTTCAAATTAAATATCCCGTAAAAATATTCTGTGTTTCAAATAAATCTCAGTTTCCCATTTTCCCATTTTTAAATGTAAAACATTTTTCCTTCGTATGGTATATAAAAAGATTGTTTTGCTTTCAAAACATTTAAAATTAAATATTAATAACAATAAAGTTATGGCACTATAAAGATGGGGACAAAAACTTTCTCTGAGAAAAACATTTTAAAATTTTTATCTCTTTTACTGAATAAATAAAATATTTTCCTTTGGTTTCAAAAGTGGTTTTTAGTATTTTTGGGGTATTTTTATGTGAGTTTTTGTCCCCCTCCCCCCATTGCCTTACAATGCAATAATGACTGTTAACGTAATAAAACACTTTTCGTATCACAAAAAAGGATTTTTCATTTTTCACATTAAATTTTAATTTTCTATCCACTCGTACAGAGAATCAATTTGTTTGCCGTGGAAATTGATTTTTGTTTTTTGTGAAAATATTATTATTTTTTCGTGTTATTTGTGTTTCGACTTATTATTTAATTTAATATTATATAAAAACTCAGGCTTCAATTATAATAACTCCCAAAGATTATGTAATGTATAAATAAGCAGTAATGGTTTGTTAACATTTTCCCGTTCATGGATTAATACGATCATGAGTCATTTATTTACTTTAAATATTATATACTCTTTTATAATTTTTCGTAATTCTTTATGTAAATTGAAAATTGTATTCAAAAAGTCATTTTATCAGAGAGTATCACATTTAGGGTGTCTTTTGTCCACAGATAATAACAAGTCATAAATGTTTGGAAAATGAATTTTTGTGGAAATATTCATTTGAATGAATAATTTTTCAATAAACCGAAGCATTCACAGGAACTGCAGGAGAGAGAGAGAGAGGGAGAGAGAGAGAGAGAGCTTAATAATAATAGTAAACCTGATAAAAAAATTTGTTCGTCATAAAGATTGTATGGTTGACTGACTTTAAGACAATTTTAATAATAACTAAATGTTGGAGAAGTACTCATTTATCCGACGGAATGGAAATTTGAATTTCTTTTATTTCAGACGTGTCTTTGGATTCGGTATTATCTGTGGTCTTATTGTCCGACTGGCGATAGACCTCCACTTTCACCTCCTCCTCGTTGGTGTCGGGCTTTCGCCTAAAACTACTCCTATTGTGGTTGTGATGATAGTTGTGTCGATGGGCTGAGGAGGGGGTGCGCCCTAAGGGCCGGTGCGGCGAATTGAGCGATGAGTTTCGTTGCAGCGACGGGTTTAATGGTATGGTGTATATGTTGAGTCGGGCGCCTCCCATCTTAGGCGGCGCGCAGATGTGGACCGCTTTATTGGGGTTTGACTTGTAGTTTCTAAAGGATCCGCCGTAATGGTAGTTCGGGTTTGATATCTGCTGGTGCTGTAGGTTCTGTTTTCCCCAATACTGCCAAATGCCTGCAACAAATCAATCACTCAATATAAATAATATATTTAGAAATATATATTTGTGTATTATGTTTGTTTTTTAGTACGAATAATACACTTTTGTGTACTCTCTCTCTCTCTCTCTCTCTCTCTCTCTCTCTCTCTCTCTCTCTCTCTGAGTATATTATGTCCGCGAAAAACCCATTTTTATAATATACTGAACAGAATATTCTCATCAGTTATGCAGCGGTAGACAAGCCCTGCGAATGTCTTATAATCCATGAATTATTTATTTATTTAAATGAAAAATTCCTTTGATTTCTCGTATTTATTATTAGTTTTAAATTCAGTTCTCATGTCATAAAAGAAATATTACGTGAAATCATAGGCAAATATTTTTGATATCAATAAAATAAATATATATTTCGATGCATACCTTCTCCTTTGGAAACGGACGACCAGAATCCGTATGAAAACAATGCGATTATAATGAATACAAACGCGAGCGTCAGGTACATCATCTCATTAGAGCCTCCATGAGCGGCGAAAAATAGGATGATCAGGATCAATATAAACATCCCGCCGCCTATTTTGCCAATCTCTACAAAATTGCATGCATTTAACACACATTTCTAATTAAAAATTATTTCTAATTATATTTGTCAAACACATGATGCAAATAATTATTGTTCACACAAACCTTTATTATTCTCAGGCATTGTTTCTCTACTCAAACGGATGCAGACATTTGATTAATAAAAGAAATTTTCATAAAATATATATATATCTACAAAAAATTGGAAAGATTTCTACAGAAATGCTTTGCACGCAATCCCAGAGACTATTACTATAAATCCTATTAATGGCCAATTGGTTACAGGAATTTAAAACAACAAAAATCTCTATTTTCTAAATAATGAATAAATAATATCTATGTATTGACACCACTTCTCTCGGCTAACACTACTAACCAATGCATTCACATCGTTGATGAACTGTAAAAAATCAAATATTTATTATTATTACCATTGGATAGCATTAACTAATATTCACATTGATTTTGTTTTAGCCGTAATAGTCATGCTCTGGCGTCTCGGCTACCAGTGCTCTCGCCGTTAGTTCTTGTGTTCAACTCCTATACTCAGATAACTCTCGCATTTTCAACAGATATTTTCAAATATGTCTATAATATCTGCCTTTTGTGTGTCTCTCACACAGCGGACACTCTCACTATTAATATATGGATTTTTGCCGATTCTTATGACTTATATTTACACATAATCTATAGTTATTAGTCACGATATCTTTGCTTATATCAAGTTTTGCAGACTTTTTAGGTTTTTAATTAACTGTGGATTCATTTCAAGTAAACCAAAATACAATTACGACAAAAAATAGTTTTTTGACCTCAAAGTTAATACATGAGACATAAAACACAAATAGAAATCCAAATCCAAATGAAAGTCTTGTAATCAATTAGATTGTGATTCATTAACAGAACTTCATTGACTAGAAAATTACTCTCTCTCTCTCTCTTTCGCATTCAATTTAATGATCGATGCGGTGATTAACACCAAAAGTCTTAAGTAATTATAGGATATATTTTCATCATGTAATCAAGAAATATATATATATAACAATCATTCATTACTACAATAAAGAGTATAACAAAATATCTATAAATAATAGTTATCTAGAGATATAAATCGATATTAAATGTCCTTAATACTATTATTAATTTCTATTTATTTTTGTAAATAAAATAATTTCGATTTTAGCCGAAGTGAAAGGGGTTGGACTATGGGTTTCACTCAAAACTCATATATAAAACTCAAATATTGATCCAAATTTCTACTCTTTCGTTAGAAAACTTTTATTTTTTATTTATTTAGTTTTTTGCTTTCGTTTCTGAAAGAAAAATATAAAGAAAAGCTATAATGAAGAGATTAATAGTGTTTTATTCATTGGTTGTGTCACTCGTATTGATAGACGTGAGCGAAGGCAAAAAGAAAGGTCTACTCGAGGTATGTGTCGATCCAAACGGATCTCATTATCTGTGAATTACATCAAAATCATTGTCACTGTGAATGAAAGGCTGGCCTACTATTAGCTGGACTGCTGCCGCATCCCATGCCAATGCCTATTCCTGTACCGATTCCCATACGGATAGAGCGGGACCACCACCACAAAGCACAGCACTGTCCGGCCCCACCACCCATACAGTGAGTGTTCACATGAATGCCATAGAGTTATCATAGGAATGCCTATCTATTCAATTGTCTAGTATTCATAAGAGTGTTCATTATATTCCCATTGAACGCAAAGTTAAGAAACCAAAGAAGTCGGCAAAGGATGACATGGGAGGGGATGAGGACTTCAGACGATAAATATATCTCTCATCTTCTGGTGATAACTATTGACAGCTTCTTATGGACACTATCTCTGCCGGCGATAAATTATACGACTTTTTTTGTAGTATAGATTTTTGGATTTGGTTTTAAGTAGTTTTATTTTTGTGTTATAGGTTTTGAGTGTATGTTTGCTGTTATAAAGTCTGTTTTAGGTGTACTCGTGAGTTATGTTATCGTGTTTTGCCATTCAATTCATGTGTTTTATTATAAAAGACAATTGTTTACAATTATTGATTTTATATACAAAAACAACACATTTTATACAAACTCGGTATAAAACAAGACAATTGTAATTTGTGTTATATTTGTTCATTACTTACTTAACTTTGACTCATAAGTTCAAGTAAACTGTATTTAAGCCAAACATTATTTTTAAAAATTTTGTAATTACTTTTGTATTAACAATAAATTAAGTATGTTGTATTAAAATAGTATCTTAAATGTCAAAACTCCATACAATTCTCTGTCGCAATGGGTATAAACTACAAACATGTACTTGTACCAGTAAATGTACTTGTACCAGTATGTACTCGTCAAACATTTCATTAGATTTCAGACAACAACACACTTAAGAAAATGACAAAAATACTTGACATAAGAATAATGGCAAACAATTAACTTGAAAAAATTGAACTCAAGTGCACACACAATGCCTTTAAAATCATTCAAAACTTGTTTTTAAAATCGTTGAGATTATAGTCATTCCAGTAATCATTGATACGATAGACGTGATCCTCTTCCGGGCCCTTGAATTCAAACTTCGTTTCATTTGATTCATAATTAGTGACCACAGAATCCAATTCATTCATAGCGTTGCTCTCATAGGACATCTGTTTGGCCATCAATTCCTTTGTGTCCATCGTTTTCAAGTCGGCCGCAGATAAGACACTCAAATCGTTTGGCTTTTCATTTGGATCCACATTTGACTTCTCCTTTTGGTCCTCATTTTGGGTCACATTCTGAGCCGCGGTCTGTCTCTTGTGGAGGGACTGCGGGGGCGGTAGTAGTGGTAGCGGTAGTATAGATGACGACAACTTGTTTGAGTCAAAGCCACTGTAAGGTCTGTCCACAGAATAGCTAATAGTCTTGGGTTTCAATTCCGGTTGATATCTCAGCTTCTCATCCGTTGAGTCATAATCTGGTGGCAAATCCGGTGTCTCAATGCTCGGGGAGTTTTCAAACTTCTGGTACCCACTCAAACAGGTTTTGGGATCCTTGTCCTCCTCTGACTTCATATCATCATCTGTTTCTTCAACCGGAGTCTCGTGTTCTGCTCATAAGAAAAGTACACAAAAGACTCAATTTATATAATTAAACAAATAAAACATTTAATTGGATTAAAAAGTTAACAAAAATACTATAATTGAATTATTTGTTCAAATATGATATATTGGTAAGTATTTTAAGCGCTTAATTGCCTTTAATTTGTTTGCGAAGGGCTCGGATGATAGAGACGGCCAGTCCTACGGACGTATAGGCGAGCATTGACTGCACGCCATATAGAGTTCCGTAACAACTGCCCGAATGTATGGCATAAGTGCGGGACAGAGTCGAGAACACCAGCAACGCTACCATTGAGTAGAATATAGTGCCTAACAATACAAGTAAATTATTTTCAAAATCAAATTATACTTATTATGACAATTGATTTATAATGCAATTATCATACATTGTATGAGAGCAGAAAAAAGTGCAGTAAGAAAGTATAGTATAGGGGAAAGACATACAGAGAAAGTCATAAGATTTCATTTTGTTGGCCTTCTTGTTGTCTTCATTCTCGTCTGTCTTCTCATTCACCGCACCGTTAGCTTCATTGCCGGCGTCCGTATCGCTTGGATTGTCATCGATTTTGATATTCATATCATTTGTTATACACTTTTCGCTACATTTCTCCTTTACTTCATTGGCATTCATGTCATTGTTATTCAAATTTGCTTTTGAATCCATCGCTTCGCATAACTGTGGGTCACAAACGAAAAAAGTATCCGAAAAATATCAAAGTTATTGTTTGATAAATATATTTCTTAAATTGAAATAAATATTTTAAATCAAATTTTCTACGCTTTTCGGTCTCGTATATAAAAACAATTCTTCCTATCAATTGTCGCACAAAATGTTTTTTGTTATTCAAAAAGTCGATGAAATTGGTTTCGTAGCAACTATTTTTTATATTATAAATAAAACTTTAATTTATTAATATTTATTCACTTATAATATTATTCTCATTGTGCTCTCCTATATTGACTGCATTTTTCATTTCATTTAAAACTTTGTTTTTATTTATGTTCTGTTGTTGCATAAGGTATTAGTTAATTACAAAGCCTAAACATTTTACAACATTTGTAACTTATTTAATTAACGCTCATTTATAAGTAGTTTCATCGGGAAATTATAATAAAATAATTTTGTAACTCTTATGATTAGGTAAATAGTTAATTAAAAATATTTTCCACTTTAATGCAGTTTTTTTGTACAGTAAGTTAATTGAATTATTTTTTGTTTGTTTAAATACATTTGGGTTTAATATGTAGAGTATATAAATAATATTCATGAAAATATTAATATATATTGGTTTTAATATATTCTAGTTTTGTAATACAAATATAGTTGTTTAAAATTATAATTTGAAATTTCTATTTGTTAATTTCTATTACTACAGAATTTAAATTATTTTATGACATTTATCATGTTTTGTAACCAATCTAATTGTAAATTACATGGTAAATGTACTGAATATACATGTTATTAAAAGGGTTAAAATTATTTGTAATTAAGGATCAACGATAACACTATTTCGTTAATTAAATTAATTACATTACGATTTATCATATAATTCAGCTTGTTTTATTTTTTGAAAATTACTGCATATCTCAAAGTCACAGCTTTTGTGATCTAAAGATAAACCAGAAATAAAGGCAAGAAATTGTGAGACTATTTGACAAAACTAGTGAATGTATTGTGGGTTAAGAGCCGTATGTCTGCTCTCTATTAATAAGAACTCAAATCTGGGAATCGATCCAAAAGTGGAGTTCTGCACAAAAACACCAGTAGTTTAGTAATGACAGCGAGTGTTATGTTTGTGTTGTGTAATAATATAATTGTTGTGTTTTTGTGTGTGTATTGTAAACTCGGTTAAGACTAGAGTGGCATTTAGTGCTCGGCTTTTGAGTTAATCACCAAAACTGAAGTCATAAATAAGGGAAAAGAGTTTTTGAGTACAAAAAGGGTAGAGAATTACAGAGAGTATGAGAGAGAGACTCTCATTCCTCAAGAGTATTACATTATGAATACAAACGATAATATCAGTGATAATAAGAGTATTTGTGATGATATGACAACTAATAATGCATTGAATAATGAAAACCTTATTGTAACTGTTGGCGAAGATAATCATAATAAAAATAAATCTAATTTCTCGTCAAAAAATCTAATTCTGAAGCGATTTTTGGATAATAATAATTGTGTCGATGATTGTAATGCAAATGCAAAGAAGTCTTCCGATAGAAATGCAATCAATTTTATGGGTATTTAACACAATTTTTATTATTTATATATCATTTAATTTGCATATTCTGTGCGAATTCTGTTTACGAGAATATTTTTCTGAATACTAATTAAAATATCTCTATATTTAGCCAAAATTAATTGAATGTATTTTTATGCATGTGAACAGTGCTAGGTTATTTCCTTTTGGTGCTAATCCTCGTTTACGCCTATTTCGGGAGTTTAATAAGTGATCTCTTCATCACAAACACCAACCAAATAAACAATATTTATGTTGAAAAGCAAAACCAAACCAATAATCATGTGAAGAGTTCAACGCAAGAACCTATTAATAGCGACACCGATGTGACTGAGAAACAAAATAAATTGATCAAGATGATCACATCCACCGAACTCATTGTCATACTATGGCTGACGTTGATATACGGGTCGTGTTTGATGTTGTTTCTCAGATTCAAAGTATTAAAGCTGGAAAGGGATCCAAACAGTGATAAACACCGCAAAAAGGACAGCACCGAAGAGTTGAACGCCTTTCTCAGTAACAGTCGTAACAAAAAGAATTCATTCAAAAACAAAAACCTGACCCTGGACAGTCCGGTCGTCACCAACACTAATGAGCCCTTTTGGCACAAATAGGTCTCCTCTATAGAGAGATTGGCAAATATGACTTTGGATTCATGATTTCAAATGCATTTAATCACTACTAATGCAATACATGATTATCGGAGGCAATGAAAAGGAAAATCTAGACATCCAGTGATTGAAATATAATGAATGCATTTAATGAATTGTGAATTAGTTTATGAATTATTGATAGATTCTATGCAAAGCTACAAATTATATATAACTATATTTTAAATACCCTTCCATTTTAAAATACCTTCCAAATGAATTATGGTACAATATATTTCCCCATATTATAATTATATTATATTTCTTAAATTGCGAGATATTTTTAAAATTGCGAAACTATAAATTACATGTATTAAATAAATTTATTGTTAGACATTTATTGAAACATTTTGATTATATAAATTATATATTAATTTCTAGAAATTTAGATAAAATATTTATAATAATTTATGAATATTCACTAAAAGTGTGCAAAGAATTATAACATCGATTTTGAATGCATTTACTGAATGTCATAAAAGTATATATAAATTTATATTCAATGTAAATAGCGAGCTAATAGTTTGTATAAATATTTTGTTAATTACTGTATTAACTTAATATGAAACTCTAACATTAAGACAAATTGTATCATAAACATCACAAACTGTTATGTATTTCGGCGCTTATATTTAATATTGTAAACAAAAGTATTAACTCAAAATATTCCACAAAATTAAGACTATTTTTCTATGCAATCAATAGACAAGTATAAGCGTCGATAAATACTCTTATTATCAATCAATGGCTATATCCTTAAACCTACGCGTATTGTTAATAATAATTATAAATGAGTCTTAAATATCAAATTAAATTTCTGTTTCACTTGAATTTGCTGTGTTATAAATAAATAAATTTTACTGCAGAGTAGAGTGAAATTATTGTCACAGAATTGCTGAATATTCTGTTTATTAAAATGTGGATTACTTTTATAGATTTTTATGACATTTATGGACCAGAATTCAAAACAACTAACGATAAGATAGAGTTTGACTGGTAATGTGAATTAGAGCGGATTGACAGCACTGGTTAGCTGTATCAGGGACGGTAGGTTTTTGTTTGATATTCATTGAGTGTATTGATATAATTATGTAATTACAATCATATAGAATATTCTTGAAATTTTTTCGTGTATATAAATAGCTAGTATAATGCAGGGTTTTATCAATGTTAACATCTAATTCTGTTTCTAATTGTATAATTCAAATGTATTTGGGCTTTAAAATCTAAATTTAACTAAAAGTTTGAAACCAATTGTGCAAACTTTGCACATGATTTTGGTTCGGGGCCAAATATCATAAACAAATACTGACTATTTTAACGCCAAAAAACTAGCTCTTCATGTCATAAAACGTGTATAAATAATTTGATTGCAATGTATTTTTTATGTAAATATTATTTCAATAGCGAATCAATAAATTTTGTGCCAAATTAAGTCTCCATATATACAATGCACTGAGATTTGAAAGAAACCCTATTTTTAGTTTGGCTTTCTATTTAATAAATTAAATATTAATAATACACAGAATTAATGCTACAATAAAGGACTTAAAGGTTTTTGCCTAACTATTGATTGTGTGTTTTGTTTAAAAACAAAAGCAAAAATTACTTTAATTAACGGAGAGATTTGTAGTTAATCTGCTTAATAGGTTTTAATATTAATTCAATATTACAGTAAATCATATAATGTGTGGTAATGTATGGCAAAATTGTTAGGACAGCCACACGCATGACATACATAAGCGACTGCAATATCGGCGGCGCTTTTATGACTAGCGCCAGAATATTATATACAAAAAAACAAATTACATTAAAAATAAAAGTATTGACCACAAGACCAGTTTTGAAATGCATTTGCAATCAACTTTTACAGTCACTCACCAAATAGTATTATTGCGGTATATTTGATAATAACATAGGATTTCTGGAGACAATTATAGAGACATTTTTATGACGTTTAGGTAAGAATTTCTATCATTAATTCTCTTATATTTCATAATATGTTTAGAATATGAATGACTTTTTTAGTTTATTTTTCGTGTATAAAATCAATGAGCGAATGGTTTCCATGTAATCCATAGCCTAAATATTTTTGTCTATAAATTAAACAGAAATATAATTAAAGTGTCTTTTGCAAACATTCTTTCTAATCTCTACCGTATATTAAGTTAATATTATATCACAGAATATTAAAAGTATAAGAAATGACATTTCATGTTATATGCCTCCAAGTGATTAATGCACGGGTATGCAAAGGGCAGTTAGTTTTACTATAAACTTTATGGCAATGTATATGTATTTGTGACTATATATCGATTAATTGTTCAACAATTATTAAATTGTTTTCAAAATAGATTTGCAGACAAATAAAAAATAATGAACACAACTTTTAATTATATTTTTAGCACAAATAGGTGTTCGAGAATTGGGAGATAAAGGTGCTCTCATGGAGAGTGCAGTGACAACTGGGCAGTCAGGCCAATAGGTTACTGCCCACACCCCACACCCAATCCTTGACCTTTCCGTCTAATTGATACACATTTTAATAGAAATAACGTAATGTTTTAGTCATTTAAATCGGCAGCACTACACCACTATTACACATATATATATGTATATATATATATACATATTCAATATATATATACATATATATACATATACATATATATATGTATATATATATGTGTGTTATATATATTTTGCTCATTTGAATGCTCCGTAGTCTAAATGCCATAAATATTTTTTGTTTAATTATTGCCTTCGCTTTGTTAGACATTAAATATTAGATTCGATACATTTTGCTTTTCAACATAAATATTGTTTATTTGGTTGGTGTTTGTGATGAAGAGATCACTTATTAAACTCCCGAAATAGGCGTAAACGAGGATTAGCACCAAAAGGAAATAACCTAGCACTGTTCACATACACGCATAAAAATACATTCAATTAATTTTGGCTAAATATAGGAATATTTTAATTAGTATTCAGAAAAATATTCTCGTAAACAGAATTCGCACAGAATATGCAAATTAAATGATATATAAATAATAAAATTTGTGTTAAATACCCATAAAATTGATTGCATTTCTATCGGAAGACTTCTTTGCATTTGCATTACAATCATCGACACAATTATTATTATCCAAAAATCGTTTCAGAATTAGATTTTTTGACGAGAAATTAGATTTATTTTTATTATGATTATCTTCGCCAACAGTTACGATAAGGTTTTCATTATTTAATGCATTATTAGTTGTCATATCATCACAAATACTCTTATTATCACTGATATTATCGTTTGTATTCATAATGTAATACTCTTGAGGAATGAGAGTCTCTCTCTCATACTCTCTGTAATTCTCTACCC